GATTGGAACAGGGATCCAGAGATATCAATTGGCAAATGAGGACAACTAAAAACCAAAAAGAGGGGAAAAATTGTGTAGTTACTGAACTTCTAAATGGTGAGGAAGTTGAGAGTTGCAAGATAGAATGGACTGTTCTAAACTCAGGCAGAAAATTATAAAATCACAGGGTAACCTCAAAGAAAAATGATAAACCTTTACATCACCATAAAAAAGAGGACAAACACAAATATTTAACAAATACTAAAACAATAGAAACAGAGGAAATAATAACATGATGTATAAACATAATGAGCTGAGCACAGAAAGTTATATGGAACAAAGAAACCAGGAGTACTATGAAAAAACACCTAACAGAATGACAGCAACCTATTCATACTTGTTGATAATTACACTGAATGTCAATGGATTAAATGCACCACTCAAGGGACAGAGAGTTACAGACTGGATAAGAAAGCATAACCCATCAATATGCTGTCTACAAGAGACACACCTTAGAGACTAAAAATCAAAGATTGGAAAAAGATACATCACGGAAATGGTAACCGAAAAGAGCAGGAAGGGCAATATTAATTTCTAATCAAATTGACTTTAAGACAAAGACTACCATAAGAGACAAGGAAGGACATTATATAATAATTAAAGGCTCAATTGAACAGAAGGTGTAATCATAGTAAATATCTATAGATCATTGAAACAGCTCTGAAGTACATAAATCAGACTTTTAAAAGAGTTGAAAAGGCAAATAGATGACTCCACAGTCATAGTGGGAGACTTTAATACACCACTTTCAGTGAAAGATTGAACAACTAAAAAGAATCTCAACAAAGACACAGAAGAGCTAAACAATACAGTCCCCCAGCTTGACCTTATAGACATCTACAAAACACTTCACCCAACAACAGCACAGTGTACATTCTTTTTCAGTGCACATGGTACATTCTCCACGATAGACCATATGTTAGGCCATAAAGCAAGCCTTCATAAATTTAAAAACATTCAGATACTGCAAAGAATCTTCTCAGATCACAGTGCTGGAAAAGTAGAAATCAACAATAGGAAGATCAACAGAAAAAGAGCAAACACATGGAAACTTAACAATACCCTCCTAAACAACTGGGTAAGAGAAGAAATTAAAAATGAAATTGAAAATTTCCTTTAATCAAACAAGAATGAAAACATAACATACCAAAATCTTTGGGACCCAGCAAAAGCAGTGATCAGAGGCCAATTTATAGCAGTAAGTGCACACATCAAAAAAGAAGAAAGAGCCAAAATCAACACCTTAACCATCATCTCCAACAACTAGAAAAAGAGCAGCAAAAAAA